GTTCCTTTGTAAAATACCTGGGTGTGATCGTTGAGCCTCTGTTTAAAGTTGATAAGCATATTAACACTGTTATCAAAGCCAGTTTCTTGCAGCTGAAGACCCTCGCTAAGAAAAAACCTTATCTTCCTCGGCCTGATCTAGAGCGGGCTATCCACACATTTATTACATCGTGTTTGGATTATTGTAACTCTTTATATTTAGGGTTGGACCAGAGCTCCCTGCAGCGACTGCAGAACGTCCAAAACGCTGCAGCCCGTCTGTTGACAAACACAAGGAGGCGTGAATCTTTTACCCCCGTTTTGCACTCCCTTCACTGGCTCCCTGTTGTTTTTCAGGTGAAATTTAAAGTTTTGATTGTTTTTAAGTGTTTAAACTCCATGGGCCCGTCTTACCTAAGCGAGCTGCTGCAGCCCTACACTCCATCCAGAGCCCTGAGGTCAGCCGACCAGCTCTTGTTGGCTGTCCCTAAAGCGAGGCTGAAGACTAGAGGTGACAGAGCCTTCTCTGTGGCAGCACCCAGACTGTGGAACAGACTCCCTCTGTCTGTGAAGCTCTCTCAGTCCGTAGATCAGTTTAAGTCCAGACTGAAAACACATCTGTTCTCCTTGGCCTTCACTTGATTGACCCGAGTTTTGGGGAAATTGCAGCAAATATGCAATAGTTGTCTTGGTAGTACTTTTATTTGATTGGTATTTTACTGTAAATTTTATTATACTTTAATTTTTATTAAACTCAATTTTATTTCTTTAATAATAGTGATCTTTTTTGGTAAGCACGTTGATAACAGTTACTGTTTTAAATGTGCTATATAAATAAATGGGACTTGACTTGATTATAAAAATAAAAGTGAGATTGTGGCTGCCGTTAAAGATGTGGAGTTGTCCTGGAATGCTGTGACACAACGACGTGAGGGGCTGGTTGTGGATGTGAAGGAGCAGCTTTAAACAATGCCAGTGTTTCTCTTTTCAATTTGATGAGACAGCCAATATGATGTACATGGCCCAGCTGTGTTTCTCTCAGAATGGTCTTTGTAGACATGAGGGCCAAGGTGGAGCCC